GAACCCTGTCCAATCGTAAACGTACGTATAAATCGATAATTTTTAATCCACGATTCTTTTTTCGTTGGTAAAACTCGTAACAAAACGATTAAAAATAATTAACGATAATTTTGAAAATAATAGAACGAAAAATATCGTTATCGTTTAAAACCGGTAAAGTCGTTGTTAAAATGTAAGAAAATGAGAGAAAGAGAGAGAGAGAAAAAATGCTCCAATGCGAGCATTGCGTGCCAGAAAATTATTTATTTGGAGGGCGAGAGTGTCAAGGACGTTTCAAGGTTAAGTAATATTTTCCCTCCACCTTACGTAAATTAATTTAGAGCACGTGGAAGAGGTCGATAGCTTCGTTTCAATCCAAGCTTCCTCTTTGTACCTATCTTCGAGCCTCGTATCTTCCTAATTAAAATCAAAAAGGAAGGGGGAAAAAAATATTACTGGACTGGTTGATGCTCGACGAGAGAGGACAATTGTTTCGATTTCTATATATCTTTTCTCTCTTCTCTATGTACAGCGAAACTCTCTATTTATATTGAAAATAAAATTTTATACGATGCTCGGATGATGACTTATATGAACATTTTTATTATATGATGTGATTAGAAATGTACGTTGAAATAAGTAAATAATTAATTATTAGAAAGAATTACTATATTTATGTTTGCAAAATTATTTTTAATATTCGATATTATGCATTTTAGAGATAATTTTTCGTGAAATCTTTTTAAACTTTTATTAATCGAACAAAAAATCATAGTTAGATGGATCATACTATTACATGAGTAATAGCTTGGTTACGTGAAAGCATTATAAAATGGAATTTCTATTGTACGCAGAATATCGCATAAAAGCTTTTTTCATATTACCGATTGAAAATGAATGTTAACTTTATCATCGATCGGTAATATAATACACGTTTTCCACGCTACGATTACGATTATAATCAAGTGCATATTAAAAAAATAACAAAAGAAAAAAATTGAATAATAAGACGAATAATCCATGGATATTCATTTCTAATTGCACAATGAGAACTGGAAAAGGTTTTAACCAAGTTACACGAAAGTTTTTCCTGTACAAATAACACGGTGGTCTATCTAGAAACTTTTGTTCAATGTTTGGTAACTTTTCGAGGCAATAAAGCTAGTGTATTTCCGGCAAAATAGAATCTGGCTCGAAATTTAAGATAGGGTAAATGATGGATAGCTGGCACTTTTGAATAAATTCAACGATATTAAGAGAAACGAAACGTACCATCAGATCTATACAAGTAAATTGAATTCCAAACTTTACTCTTGCCAATAATACATTGCACAATTTTTTAAATTTACTCGAATAACTTGTCCTATCTTTGTAACTTCTCTGTTTCAATAATTCTCGTTCTGTATTTTAAAGAAATTGTAAAGTATCTTTTAGAGGATTGCAAAGTATTTTTTAATGGTTTACAAAGTATCTTTTAAAACATTGCAAAGGACATGGATTTTAGGAGTATTGTTAAGGAAATTATAAAATGTCTTTTAGGAAGTTATTTTTAAGAGATTTTTAAGGCATGGTTTTACAGGAGCAAAATATCTTTTAAAGTATTTTTTAAAGGATTGCAAAGTTTCTGTTACTTGATGGAACTTATCCATAAAATTCCATCCAATTTTCACTGTCTAACTGACAATACACATACCAATATGTTGACTATTTCCAAGATATCCTCTCTTCCTTCCTCCTTCCTTCTTTGTCCAAGAGAAAGAAGGGGTGATAATTTTCACTCTTTCTTCCACCTCTCTTGTATATACTCTTGCCCGTCCTCAATTTCCTTCCAGTTACCGTGGAAGGAGGAGGAGGAGGAGGATCCCTTCCTCCCTCCCTCGAGCGACTTTTATTATTCCACTTTTAAGTATTGTCTATTTTTAGACATTCCATTTTTAGAACGTCCCACTTCCCAATCTGCCCCTCCCCCCCTTTCTCACTTTCTTGGAATACATATATCATCCTATTTTCAGTACGGTTAATTACTTTGTATTCAATTTTTCGACAGTCTTAATCCCCTCTACCCCCTTTGCCACAGACCATTCCCTTTGTTTCCTTCAAATCATCGTGTATTTTACCTCTTTCTACGACCTTACATTACTCCACTACAACAAAGATCGATCGTGTAATTATTTAAGTTAAGAGTGCTTTTGTTGTTGGTCAACAACGTTGCCATTTATAGAATTATTGAGAAATTGGAGAAGAAGAGGATATGAAGAGAGAGATATGAGAAGTTTCAATTTAAGAATTGGATTTTGTATTGAAATCTATTGATGATAAAATTTTTGTGAAGTTTCTTCCCTAAGTAGAGAGAGAAAGAGAATTATTCATTCATTCCTTTGCTACATTTTCATCTTAATTGAAAATTCAATATTTCAATCCTCTTATTTTATATTTTGAGGTGTCTTTTATTTATAGAATTTATATTTATATATCTTTTAACATTTTCAGAATTGTTCAATTTGGAATTGTTCATTCCAATTTTTATTTTCAACTTTCTTATTTACAGATCATTATTTACTTCTCTCTAAATTCTTTTATAATGATGAGTATTTCTCCACTTTCATTCTTTTGTTAATATTTTCAATAAATAAATTTGATTAAAAATTCAAATGATTACCACAAAAAGTATTGTTTCATTTGATCCAAAATTTAGATTCAATTCCATTCCAATTTGGTCTCAAAACTGGTCTTTATTTATAAATTTTTCAATTCTTCTTTGAAAAGATACAAATTTGATATACATTCACATTGTCTCTTTATCTTTCAACCAATGAATCTGAAAAGATATCCAATATATAATAATAACGTTATTTTATTATTAATTTCTTCCAATTTTAAAGTATATTCCTTTATAAATATATAGTATATATAGTATATAATAAAGTATATTCCTTATTTATAAATCCCTTTCTTCTTTAAATTTTTTATCAAAAAGAGTAAAAAAAAAAAAAAATTGCCTCCAACTTGAACTCTCGATAAAACTTCACTCGAAGGGGAAGAATCGCGGGGAAACTTTTCCAATTTCATCGTGGTCCGCGGATGCAAAGCGGCGCCAATGCTTGTCACGTTATTTAAAAGTCGAAAGGGAACGTTCATGCCCGCGAAATTACTTTTATCCACCGTAACAAGGATTGGAAACCACCTAAAAAACAAAATGTTGTATGAGATAACGATTAGATCAATGTAATAGTATTAATTTTATCTTATAAAAATCTCTAATGGATGAAATTAATGATAATAATAATTTTTTATTTGAAATTTGATTTGATTTCTCTCTTTTGTTGCAATTCATCATTGAAAATGTGCACTTAAAAGCGGTATAAATTTCTAGTCTTTATTATTACATCATGCTCAAACATTATTATACGTGTATTATTATGTTAATCTTATTATATTATGCATATTTCTGTTATACTTTTCCATGATACATTTATTGATACATGTTAAGTGGATTATAATTATCTCAAAAAAATTAAATGATTTTATATATCAAATTGGTTAATGAAATTCAATTTTTCTTTATATTATAGAAAGTAACATAAATTTACAAATAATTGTATTAATCTCTTTCAATATTTTAATAATATCCACTTAATATTAAATAATATAATTATTATAAAATATCATTATAAAATAATGTGTATATTATTACATATTATATAGTATTATAAATATTGTCAAGAGATTAAAATTATTGGAACTATCTTTATCTCAAAATAATTAAATGATTTTATTTATTAAATTGGTCAAAGAAATTCAATTTTCCTTTACAATGAAGAAAATGCATTAATTTCCAAATAATTAAACTCTAATAATATAAATTTAATATTAACACTTTAAATATTATAGATAGTACTATAGGCAGTAGATAACGTTTCTTTGTCATTAAAAATTATAAGAAAAAAAATTTCGTTACTTTATTTTTGATCCTTAAAAGAGATGGCTTAACAAAAAACAGGGGTTGAAAAGGAAGAGGGGGTGGAAAATGATTGCTTGTGGTTGGGGTGCGGACGCGATCATCCCTCGGCTTGACACGAATTTTCCCCAAAGCCGCTATTTCTGGCCCCAGGGAATCGTGACGAGAATGAAAGGAGAAAGAAGAACGGAAGTGGATGTTTGCCGTCTGTTCGCCTCTGTCACTTGATCACCTAACGCGAGTTCCATTTGTCTCGTTCGATTTTTTATCCGATACTTAGAGAAACAATGATTTCATAGCTTCTTGTCCAGGTTTATTTGTAGATGCAGCAAACGTCGAATAAGAATGTTGAAACATTTTGAATTGGCTTCGCTATAATAATAAGGATAAAGTAGTAAAAATAGAAAAAAAAAATATATATGTATACAATTACAAGTAAGTGGATTTTCATATCTTTTAATCTTACCATTGCAACTAATTTAATAATAGTGTTTTGCATCAGTCGTTTCTTGTAATCTCTCTTCGTTTAAAGTCAAAAGTATTCAAATTTAGTACCATCGAAAATTCTTAGATATCTTAAGAGTTTAGATTTTCGTGCAGAAAATCGCGATAATATAATCACGATTATATTAGTTGTTACACGATACTTTTTTTTCTTATTTTGAGCAGCAAGAAGTAAGAATTTCAATTTTCTAATCAATATAAATCAAATAAAACTTGTAGGTGGTCGAGAAATGAGTGAACATTCGTATCTCGTTATTATTCTTTATCAATTTTGTGAGCTTTGTAATATTTATTGTTAAATATTATACAAATCTTCTGATTATCCTATCACGAAAAATAATTAAATAATTAAAATTCTTTATCTATGAATTATAATTTCAATCAATAACATCGAGTTGTTTTAGATTAGGTTAGGTTAGGTTAAGTTACATTAGTTGAATTAGTTAATCTTTCTGCTCTAAAAAATCCGCTCTAAAATTTTTGCAAAGGAAAAATCATCTCAAAAATTTCCAATTAAATTTTATTCACTAACTTCTGAAACACTTTTATTCAGATATATATAATCATTATACATGTTAGTGGGCGATTGGCCTTTGAGCACGGTGAATTCTTTGAGCGCGATAAGGTTACCAGGACAGAGTGAACCGAGATCGAAACAATACTGAAAAATCGGTCTGTTAACAGAGAAATCGTGTGCACTAATTGTCGCCACGCGTTCACGTTTCCTAATTAATTTCTTCACAATTGTTTTCCACAGCCTTCTTGTCGCTTGTTCCTTTCTCGAAGCAATGACTGAGACGCAAAGAAAGAAAGACAGAGAAAGAGAGAATAAAAAGTGAGTGATTTAGAAGAAGAAGAAAAAAAAAGAAAAATAAAAAGAAAACGAAAAGTCGTGGCACGGATTTCTTTCTTTCTTTCGTGATTGAATGAAATCTGAAAATCGACCTGAAGGAAAACTTCTGCGCATTCTTCTGCGCACACTCTATCGGTGACTAATTAAATTTCGTCACGACCCCCCTTCCCTTCTACCTTTTTCTTTCGTTTTGTTTCTGCTTTCTTCGATAGCTTTATGGATAAGTATTTCGATTATTTTTCAATATTCTTTTTTTATTCGTTGTGTTTCCAAAAAATATTTGATTAACAGAAAAAGTTATTTTTGAATTTTGTTAAGTAATTAATCTTTAAATATGTGTAAATATCTTTATTATCGAAAAGGTTATAAATAAGAATTTTTTTATTGATATTGCATATATTGGATTAAACTTTATTACTTTTTATTGTATTTTATTGTATTAATTATTTTCAAAATACAACACTTGAATATTTAACTTGTTATGTGATTTTCTGTATATTTTTCATAAAACAAATTTATTATATCATATATTTTCATAAAACAAATCACATGTTTAAATTTATTTATCTTCTTAAATCAATCACCTTATAATCTTTACAAAAATATAAAATTGCATAAAAATCAGAATTTTATGTCTATATAAACAAATAAATTAAAAAATTTTTCATTTTTTCTTTTTTAGTTTCTAACCTTCTTTTTCGAAAAATAAAAAATATACCTATCAAAATATTGATCTAATTCCGAGTAATTAAAGCAAACATTTGGAAATGGAATAGGCAATCAGTGAAAAACGGAACCGATAATCGAGACAGTGGCGTGACGCCTCATTTCCCAGTGAAATTTAATAGAGTTTCTTCGTGCATTGTGCGTTTGCCGGGTGCGATCATTGAAAATTGCCGATATTCCACGACGAGGGTGGAATACGGAACGATCCAGTTGAATGACAACGAGATAACCGAATCAACGACGGTATCTCCGTTATTAGGAGGCCGACGATTCTCTCGAATAATGGCCCGCCTCTCCTACGTGCCTGTACATACTCGATGCGTTTTCGTGGAAAATGCGAACGTCATGTGAATCGAGCAGAATTTTTTTTACAATTTCAAATTTTTCATCCTTTTCTTTTCGAATTTTTCATTAATATTTTATTACTTTGTAAAAAAGAAATAATAAGATATATATTTATTTATTGAGAGGTTAAGTTTCTCAGATACGTATATATACGTACGTATATACGTATATATATATACATTTAGTTTCTTAAATTAAAATTTTTCCAAGTAAAAAAATCCTTTAATACTAAAAATAAACTCAAAATAATTAATAATATTTTATCTTAATGCTTTGAAAGTGTAAATATAGATTAAGTTGAAATTAAAAATCACTATACATTAGTGATTTTTCGAATATGCTTGTACGAAGAGCAAATATAAAGAAATTTACGATTAAGTTTTTTCTATCAGTAAATGTCTGTAGAAATAATTGAATTTTAAAAGTGACAAAAGAAGAACAAAAAAAAAGAAAGTACCAATTTGATTCTTCCATCGAAATCTTGTTAGAAAAACGAAATGTATAGGTTAGGTTTGGTTGTACTCCCGAGAGAGGAAAGAAGTGACGAAGTGGAACCAGAAAGTGCCGGAAATATTATCGAAATGAATGTCGGAGACGCGATTGTCGTTTCTCTTCTCTTCTCTGATATGTTTGTTCGATTGATAACGAAAAGTATAGTGTTTTTCCAGTATTCTTTTATCGTATTTATTTCTGTTCGATAATTGATTTCGTACGAATATTTTTTTCTTTTATTTTCAATAAATAAAAATTTCAAAATATTTTCAAAAGAGTGGAATTTTTGATAAAGACAAGAAACAGACAATTTCCTTCGTCTGAATTGATCGTTTCTCATCAAAATCTATTATACTTCATTTTTCAAAAATTTCTAAAGATTTCATGATGAAAATGATATATATTTTTATCTTGACAATATAATAAAGGTTTCTATATTACATTTATTCTATTTCCATTTCTTTCTTATTTATCTTTTTTGTAGATACGATCAATTATATCAAATTGATCAAAAATCGCAAAAGACGATCCTACACCTAACCTAAAAATATTGATTTTAGAGAAAATTTATACGTATACGAAATACAATAGAAGCAATTTTTTTCCACGAAAAATCTTTTTAAGAATATGAAAAATAAATTATTAAAATATTCTTTCCATTCAAAAGATCATTTTTCACTTATGAGATCGATTACGTCACATGCACGCTATCAATCAAACAAGAGAAATAAGAGATTTATTCAAACGTTTTCGACGTTTATTATTCCATCACGTTCACGCTTCGTTATGTTTCTATTGAATAAATAAGCTAAATAAAAATATAACCATGGGTGGTACGAGGGTGGAACTAGAGACCAGCCTTGGGCCAGGTTCCTGAACGAAACGAGTCGCGGCACGAGGACACGCGATATCCGGGGCCAATCGTGCCGGTAATCGTTGCAGTTTCGCTTTTCGTTCGCGGAATACTTCGCAATAGTGCGTGCCTTGACCGATAAAATCCTTCTTCTCAAGCAGTCTTAAATAATAATAAAAAAAGAAAATGTTTTTTTTCTTCATATTGCGTGTCGTTTAATAAATTGTCGGTACCAATCTTTGCAAATTCGCGACACCTTTGGAAATTCGTTTGGCTTTCGTGACAATCTCGAACTACAGATCAAATATTGAAATTATATTTTTTTTTCTTTTTTTGCTCTTCGATCGAGAAAATGCATAAAATATGGTAAGTAGAATGAAATAATATTCGTTTCAAAAAAACTGAAAGAGTTAAAATCGAAAAAGCGAGAAGAAAAAGATCAATTAAATTGAAAATTAATTGAAAAATTAAATTGAAAAGAACACGAGAAAACGCGAGAAGTTTTAAAAAGTTATTATCGACGGAGGTAAAGGTATAGCATCGAATCGAGAATGGCAGTTGAACCTGTCATCACTGTTTCACTAGTGAGGATTCTCGGATTAAAGAGAAACAAAGCGAGGATTTTTTTGTTATTTGATTGATATCGATATCGTGAAACATTGTTTGACCCAGAAATTACGCGATACGATTTTTCTTCTTATCCAGAAATTTGAATTACGAAGGAACGGAAGGAATTACGACAGGTGAAAGAGGTTATGTAACTTGCTGTGCTCGTGTTTAGCTGCATCGTCTGGCAAAACTGGCCTTTGTCTATCAAGATTATCCAACGAACGATCGAGATAGCCACGGAACTCATTTCAACTACTTATACGAAGGTAAAGGTCAGATTGTCAATTAATTGTGATAATCCGTAGGAAGGTGATACCAGAGAAAAATCAAAATATATAAATGGCTAATTGTCGAAAAAATAGTTATCGAATTCTCTAACTCTAAGTAATTAATTTATTATCACGGATGGATTTATCTTCTATCGATTAATTTATTAGATATCTAATTATTAGATATCTAATAATTCATTTATCACTATCTGCGTTCGAAGCAGTTAATTCTCGTCGATCGTTAATTATTGCAAAGATATCTTCTGGGAGCTATAAATGTGTCAATTACTTTGATCGATCTTACTATAATTCTGGTGTAAATTAAAGTGAAACTAAAAGGAAATATCGTTATTAAAACAAAAAGAGAAACATAAATTATATAGGTATTAATAATTAAAAATAACTGGATAAAAATTTAATTTCGACTTACTTCTCTTGTATCTTCAGATTTTTCAACATTTACTTAAGATGATAATTGAACAAGCATAAAATTAACAAAAGTGAATTTATCAAGTCTCTTTCGATTAATCGAATTCTATCGATAATCGTAGATACTATTTTTCGATTCTGAGCAATTTAAGAGTTACACGATTTGTCGAAGTTAAGCTTGTTAAATGCAAGCATGACGATCACCTAGCAATGCGTGCAATTGCATAGAGTGCACCTTGACCCAGCAGACCTGGCTTTGATCGCGGTTAGAATTTGCGTGCGAATCAAGATTAAGTATCCAGTTGGCCCAGCTAACCTTTAGTGCGTAATACACCGTGTCTCTTTACCTACAGTACTCTTTACCTACTGATCGTTTAAGAAAACATTTTTTAACGTTTTGACAAATAATGTTTATAAGTGTTCAATAAAAAATATTTATTTAATATGAACAATATCGTAGAATGTTTATTTGGTGCAAATTTCATTTCTGATTCAATAATGAAAGGTTAAAATAAATAAAGAATATAAAGTTTCAAACCTTGAAAGAATAGGTTAAGTTAGATGCGTATAAAAGTTAATTTACACCGTATTTCTCACTTATTCATTTTTTTTTATTTTTTTAGGAGAATAAGATGATAATGCTTGATAATAAAAAATGGTTAAAACTCTATAGAGTTTCAAAAAATATTCAGGTATGTGCAAAATTAATTTACATCCCATTATTCTATTTTTTTTCTTTCATTTTTGCGGAGAGTAAAAACGATCGTATTTCTCTCTAGCTTGTTATATTTTAATTTCTACTTGTCTACTTGTTCTCTATATAAAGTCGATTATTAATTCTTCTGAAGCTCGTTATATACATTGAACAGACAAATATTTCCTTGCAGATTAATAAACGAGAAACAAGGTCGATAAGATTGGACATCGGTTTACGATCGTGCACCTACCGTGCATCCATGTCTTTCCAACAGGCTGATTTATGCGTTGGTTAAACCTCTTTCGAGGATCATACTGGGGGCTTCTGATGACTGAAACTCGGTTTACGCTCGCTTCGATCAACTTCGATCAAGTCTATATAATTCATATCTGCATCTTCGTTTTAACAAGGGAAATTGGGTAAACAGAATTGGCTGCTTTGAATCTTCTTGTTTACATCTAGAATTTTTTATTCGAATATTCTTTCTTTGTTGATGTTTAATCAATTGACCATTATTCTACGAATGATGATCAAAGAAAAACATTTCGTCTTTTATTCGAAAATTTCGTCATTTCGTCCAAAATTTAAATTTGCAAAATTTTAAAAATATCTATCGTTATGTCGTACCTACATTAATAGATAGTGATTATTTCACAAATGATGATTAAAATGATGCCATTCTTTTTCGAAAATTTTTCATTGCTAAGTTTTAAAAATTTTAAAAATTTCTATTTTTATAAATAATTAGACCAATACATTGTGCTATTATTTCATAAATAGTGACCAAAATGATGCTATTTTTTTTTAAATTAAATTTCTTTGAAAATTTTTTATAATTGTAAAATTTAAAAAATTTCTATTTTTACAGATATATCAATGGAATGCAATTACTTCACGAATGATAATAAAAGGAAGGCGTTTCATTTCTTTTTTTTTTTTCAAATCAAATTTTTTTGAAGATTTCTGGTTGCCAAATTTTGAAAAGTTAAAAAATTTTCTATTTTTATATTCGAACCAATAGAATACAGTAATTCCATCAGAAAAAGGTTCAAAAGAAAGGCTTTTCGCGATTCCTCATGCTAACAGAGTTACATAGGCCACGTAGAGGAAAGTCGGCACCTTGAAAACGAGCATTGACTATGCCCACGGAAGAAGGTCGGCCGGTTTTAGTTCGCGTTATATTTATCGCCGCTTGTAATCGATAGTTCGTCTCTCAGGTAAACAGTGTAGGAGCAATCGTTATTTCGGGGAGAAGAGTATGTCGCCGCATTGGCCCCGTACTTGAACCACTTTCCGCACAATTCTAAACGCGATTAAGACCAGCTTCGCGCGTCATCGGTACAAACAGCGATTCCATCACAATTTACATTATTCATTTATTGATTCGATTATAATTGCAAAAATTCATCGATCATTTATTATATTTTTTTAATTATTTCTATAATCTTTTTAACGTGATGTATATTTGATTTAATTTCTTGTTTTATTTTTCATCAATAAATTAAGTTTATAATATATTTATGAATCGTTATTTAAAAATTTGGAAAGCAATAATTTTGAAAATAATTTCAAGATTTATATTATTTGTTGCAAAAACTTGTTTAATAAAATATATTTATTTTAAAGTATAACAACGAAATACTAAAAAAAGGTTAGGTTAGATTGTCAATAAAAAATTTATTATACAAGAGATTTTCATACTTTATTTGTAAAAAATTTTTTATTTTATTAAAAATATAATTCAAATCATTGAACAATATATATTTGATAAAATTTTATTACATCATATCACTATATTATATATATTATCGCTGGATTGCTAGATTGCATTTATGGAAAAATCGAAAGATACAAACGAGAAAATTGAAGGAACGAATAAACGTTTAATCAAATTAAAGTAAAAGGATTAGAAAATTTTGTTGATAGAGGTTTCACTTTACCCGGTTTCAAGATTGGAATCCCTCGTTGATCGAAAGGCTTGCTCCACGATCTCGTGAATATCGGCGCGTGCACACGCATGCACGATTCTATGTTTAATGGACTTTTCTACTTAGAGGCCAATCAAGTGCTACCAACCGTCCCGAACATCTTTCCTCTTTCACGCGCAATCTCTCTCCCAGAAGTTGGCCAGTTGAAAAAGTAACTAGTTAAAAATTTCGAATAAAGTTGCTAAGTAATTACTCATTAAATAAAATACTCATAAAATGTTATACGAATAACATTTATTCGTAATTATTATAATTGATTCGCATAATTCGGCTGTTTCGCATTGTAATTATTTATTCGATACTTTGAGTAATAGATTATTGAAGTAACTTTATTCTTAACCTCAATTGTTAAAATTTTGCCTATCTTTGTTCTCTATACTTCATGGTTTTGTAAATCGAGGAGAAGAGCAACGAAAAATAGATTGGAAACGAGATTTAACTTAGGATGCGAATATAAAGTGATTAAATAATTTTATTCTGCAATACAATGTCTAGGAATGCAAATATATTTCATAATTTGAAATTTTCGACAGTTATTTTTGAGAATATTTTTCGCAAGCTGTACACTGTGTTGGAAGATAATAAAGTTTTCATATCTAAAGATAAAAGTGCGTTTGAGAGTAAAACTCTCGAAAATCGCTTTTGAGAATATTTTTGGCAAATGGAAGCCACGTTGAGATTGTCCATGGTAATTTTCACGAGAAATAATTTTCGAATAATAATCAAAGAGTTTTATTATCAAATGTTTTATCTTGCACTCTTACGTTTGAGAGTAAAATTGAGAATTGCTTTTTGAAAGTAAGCAATATTAGCTTTCTTGAATGCGATATCTAAGTATATATTTCAGAAACTCTCGAGAATCTTGAAAGTATTTTTTACAAATGAAAGCTATTATTTTCACTTTCAATTTCATTGTCTATTTGTGAAAAATAATTTTTAAGAATAATTCCCCAAAATCTTCATTATCAAATGTATTTTCTATCAAGTTTTTGACAATTAATCAGTTCAACTAATAACTTTTATTCTGCATGCAAAATTCATTAGACAAAAAATATTCTCGATGATATTTTACTTTTAAATATTACATTCGAAGCTTCAATGCTGCAATATAAATAAAATTGAATAAAGTCCACAAGTGGTAAATTCTAATATACCTGATACCCCATGATTTATAATCGACAGTTTGTATCCTGTCTCGCATCTAGTCATTTGGAAACATTGCCTAGAGTTTCGAAACGAAATAAGTCGAAAAATATTAATTTCCCTCGAGCGGCAAAGTTGAAATCCTAACGAATACCCTTAATTACCAATTACCAAATTGGTTCACTAGTAAAACTTATTCCCTCTCGCCCTTGTTCGACACTAAATTTTCCTTTGCTGGGAAAATTGTGAAAAATTTGTTTACACTTTCGTGAAAATTTATCAATAGATTTTTTTTAATTGCAATTAAAATTTACATTCCAAAGATTTTTCCGTAAATGCATAAACATTTATCGTTGAAAGTGGCGTTTTTAATAAACCTATGATACGTTCCATCGATCGATGTATAATTTTAAGTGAAAACTTTAATATTCTAGAATCTCTTTGCAAAGTAATAATTTATGAGGGTAATTTATTCTGTGGATGAATTACGACACGATGTATAATATGAAATATTTCATGATAAATATCGTAAAAATAATGTACAATGTGAAATATGTACACGAATATCGTGATACCATTTTTAAACATCCTTTAAAATGCTCTTAATATCCCAAAACAATGTCTGTGTAGAAAATGTATCAAGTACGATAATGTTATCGCATTTTATTGCTTCGTTCAATTTTTTTCTTTTTTTTTTTTTACCACAAAACTCAAAAAGAGCCAGATCATTATTCATCGTCATTGGAAAACAAAAAATTCGATTTATATATTTGCATTAATTCTATTTCTTCTCTTTTAATTCGAACGACATAAACGTAAGATAGTTTCAATTTTGTTGAAAAATTATTCCAAGCTATCGAGGGAACGCACTAGCGACAAAGGAACAATGTCGCGCTATAGGGGGGGAGAAAATTCAGCTGGTTACGTTACTGTGCGGTAAGGCTGATGAAAGGTTGACCCTTTCCACTGGCGCGCGGTTGATTCGCAAGCTATTCTACTGATTCCTCGTTCAACTCGAAGGATACGTTTAAGTATAAAAGTTCGTGGAATCGCTCTTGACAAATATTCTTCGATACTGGATGCTATGTTGATTCTTATTTGATAAATGGTAAATTTTTTTAAAATTCATTGTAATTTTTGGAATGTTGAATAATATATCGAGATTATCTTATAATTTTTATTTGGAATGAATTTTTGGAAAAAATTTTGACGAATCTTGTTTGAGATTCTTGATTTTAATTTTTTTTTTTGTTTAATATTGGATAAGTCCTATTTGGGATGGAAGATTTTTTCAAAAAATTCTAAGGATTCCACTTCGAATTTATATAATTTTTCATGATGCACACTGTTGGCATAGTTGTTTTAAATCCCATTTAACAATCTTGATAATCATTTCTTCTCAATGAATACTGAAATATTGAATTTTCACTCCTCTTCCAAATTATTCTTCTATTAACGAATATCTCGTTAAGTAATTATTCCTGAATTATCTCGAAAGTGCTAAATTTGTAGAGAATCCCATTCAACACTTTTATTTCTCACACGATTATTTCTCCATAACCTGAGAAATCCAATAAATTTCTAAAAAAAAAAATAAAATCCAACAACATGGTACTTCAAAAATTATACAATTATTATTATTTAATTCTTTTTGCTGAAAAAATCCTTTTCGAACTGATCCAAGGACGTGGATCCAAGGTATTATATTTTTCCCTTATGAAACATGTTGTAATCCTCTCTTGCACGAGGAAATTCCCTCGAAGAAGCGGATAAATCTTGGCGGAGTCACCCTATCGGGGAATAACAGAACGAAGTGGTGGAAACACGGCGATCGATGATGGTGAAACATAGCCCGCGAGACAAGGATTTTCCACTACCAACAGATGTGTTATCGAGCAGAGTTTTCAAGGGAAATTACGCAAGCAGCAAAATTCCTTTCGCCTTTCGAATGAGACAACGTCCGTGATGAGACGAATTTCTTTTTTTTTTTTTCTTTAAAATAAATTTTCTTTAAAATAAATCTCCGTGTCCAATTTCTTCAATCCCTTCGATTATCGATATTTCCTTGTGTTTTTCCAATCCAATTACAACAAAATTGCTTTTTCGAAAAAATGTCAAAATTCGAATTCATTGAAATTTACTTAAGAAGAATTGTATGGAATTGCTTTTACAAACAAAATTCGAGTCCATTGAAATTTATTTAAGAAGAATTATATGGAATTATTTTTTACAAACACGTCAAAATTCGAATCCATTGAAATTGTGTGGAATTGCCTTTACAAAAATGTCAAGATTCGACTCAATTCCAGAAAATTCCAATTCAGAAAAATTGTGTGGAATTGCTTGTGCAAAAATACAAAATTCCATTGAAATTCGATTAAGAAGAATTGTATGGAATAGCTTTAGCAAAAATATCAAAATTCGAGTCAATTGGAATTGTGTGGAATTGCCTTTACAAAAATGTCAAGATTCGACTCAATTCCAGAAAATTCCAATTCAGAAAAATTGTGTGGAATTGCTTGTGCAAAAATACAAAATTCCATTGAAATTCGATTAAGAAGAATTGTATGGAATAGCTTTAGCAAAAATATCAAAATTCGAGTCAATTGAAATTGTGTGGAATTGCCTTTACAAAAATGTCAAGATTCGACTCAATTCCAGAAAATTCCAATTCAGAAAAATTGTGTGGAATTGCTTTTGCAAAAATACAAAATTCCATTAAAATTCGATTAAGAAGAATTGTATGGAATTGCTTTAGCAAAAATATCAAAATTCGAGTCAATTGAAATTGTGTGGAATTGCCTTTACAAAAATGTCAAGATTCGACTCAATTCCAGAAAATTCCAATTCAGAAAAATTGTGTGGAATGGCTTTTGCAAAAATACAAAATTCCATTGAAATTCGATTAAGAAGAATTGTATGGAATTGCTTTAGCAAAAATATCAATTTTTTATTCATTTAAGAAGAATTATGTGGAATTGCTTTTACAAAAAAGTATCAAATTTTGATTCATTTAAGAAGAATTGCGTGGAATTGCTTTTACACAAAAATGTCAAAATTCGATTCCTAATCAAATATTATCCACTTGATAATTTTCGCTTTTTCGAAAAAAATATTAAAAAAAATAACGATTTCATTATAATCCACTTAAAGAGGAATTGTTGTGTATAGAATTGCTTTCGCAAAAATCTGAAAATTCCATTACACAAAATCCGCTTACAAAATCTTCTTTCGATCG